CTCACAATACACCGCCTCTCACCGAAACCCTAATCCATGGCTTCCCAGACTCATCGGAGGCCTATACCGGCCTCCCATGTCTTCTATGCGCTCATCTCTGAGGTCCTATGACCAGATCTTGAAGGGATCTCGACCAAGCCGTTGCTCGATGGCTATTCTCCAGTCGCCTTCAACCTCTGTCCTGCCAGCCATGGCCATTCGAGCTCGATCTTCGACTATCCTGCCTAGATCTGGAGTTTCCAAAGCCTTTCTCATCGCCTGGGATTCTTATGAAACCCTAGCTCTAAGGTTCCTTCTATTTATTTCTTAGATCTGGTCCAGATCTATGTGTGTTTGAACTTTCTGAGCATGTTTCTCAAAGTTTCCCCAATTTTTTGCTTTCAAAACTCTATGTTCTTTTAACTATGGTTTTAGGTTAAGTTATTTCGAAGTTCCTCTCTTATTCTTGGCACATTTCTGACTTTATTTGTTTGTTTTCCTTATCTGAGTAAGCATGTTGAAAACCCTAATTTTGTGATTGTTTGAGTCTGTTTGTTAAGATTTCATTCGATTCATACGCTGATCATCTCTAGGTTTGTTTGATGTTAAAAACCCTAATTTTGGGAATTTATTCGAGTTCATGAGCCTATCTGTCTGGTTTACTGAAAACCCTAATTTTTAAGGGTTTCACTTGGGACTCTGAAATTGCTTGTTGTTTCACCTGTTTGTCGTCTCTAAACTCAACTGATTTGAAAACCCTAGTCTCTTTGGGAGGCTATTCAAAGTCCTGCGAGGTTGTTTGTGCATGCTTGTATGTCTGAAATTATTCAACTTGATGCCTTGTTTCAACATTTTTTTCTCTATATGTTCTACGCTTGTGATTCTCACTCGACTCTCTGCATGTTTTCGACTCCTTCTCTCTCTATTACACCTTGAAGCCTAACTAACATGCTTTGAATGTCTGCTCTATGCTATTGCTGCATGATGTTTCTTTTGCCATAACTTAGCCTCACATGTCTGCTATTTGTGCATGCATTATATACTGAGTACCTCCTGTGATTTATTTAACTCGAAATTGATTTCAAAAAAACTTTTCCTTCCTTGAGATCCCGATTTTACTAGCCGGTCAAAGTCTAATTGATTCCTTTTCCTTTGATTGGCCCCACTGAATATTTCCAAAAATAATTTCAAATCCTGTACTTAGACTTAATCGCCTATTGTATGACTTTACTGTTTCTTTTATGGCAATAGCCATTCTACTTGTAAGGCTGGTTCTCCTTTCCTTATTTGGATACGGTTAGTATCCGTTTGAATAAGAATTCCCTGATTAAAGGGGAGTCTTATACTAATTGATTCTGATTTGTGACCATGCCATATTTGTGTTAGATTTGTACTTGTTACCTTATTTCTCTACACGTTTTCAAAGCTATAAATATCTCCCCCCTTTTCTTTGAACACACGAACACAGAACGCAATCGGAGTCCACAAGTCACTCTCACTTAAAAAATCTTTCTCTTTTACTTGTGCTGCTGTGGACTTTGTTTACTCTACTTTCTCCTGCGCTCTTTTGCTTCTCTACTGGTATGTCTCAGTTAGTTTACATGTCTCCACCACAATGTGTTTACTTCTTCCCACTTCTGTCCAATTCTTTTAGTTGACATTTGTTTCTAGCATATTGTAGCATGTTCCCCCCCCCCCCTTTCCTTTGTAATTCAGTGTTTAAATTATGTATGCATCCTGTCAGTTGTTTGTCATGAATTTGATACTTTATGAATCCCAAACCCTCATACCCTTTTATAGGTGAGTTATGGTTCGTGACATGACAACACTCTAATATTGTTGTCCATGATTCTGGATTGGATTCTTTGAATCCCAAACTCAATTAGTCCCATTCCATTTCGCCCTTTATGTGTTGTTGAGCTTTAGACTTGGGTCTGGCAGTGTCCTAATCATTGTCCAGACTCTAGTCTGACCTTCAAGGGTCTGCTCTTAATGTGTTTGACCAGGCAGGTGGTCAGGGGTGTGCCAGCCTACTTTGTAGCTAGGTATGACCACCACCTGTCATGGCCCCCCAATTCCCTTTCACTTTGCACTTACTCTTAGCTATAAGTTCTGCCCTTCTCTTGCAAGCCAGGCTTTGGGACCCCCAAGCTCCCTCTGAACTTGGATGCATGAGAGCCGGCTCTTCCACACTGCACTATTCTAATTCTGGTAGTATCCTGGGTGTAAGCAATGCCTGGAATCCCTGAGATTCCTTGGAACTTTGAAGCACCTTGGATAAAGAGAAGGCTTTGGAAATCTGGATCCCGGAAGTGGCTCAATCGCATGTTATTAGACATTAAGGTTGAATTAGGCTACTCGGATCTAGCTGTTAGCTTTTGATGTATCCTTTAATTTCCACTTTGATTCATTGGGTTGTAATAATTTTGTATGAAACTCGGGGAGTATAGTAAAAGGGTGAGGGAGGGGTCTTTACTTTTCTTGTATCCAGGGGGTAAAAATCATGAATTAGGATTTTATTCAAACTAGAAATCCTGCCTATAGGGTCTTTAATACTGATTCAATCACATAGAGACCATGCCTATAGGATTTAACGCTTAACTGTACCGCAAAAATCACCTAGAAAGCATGTCTATAGGATTTAACATTCATGTTCTGTAATGACACATATAGAGATCATGTCTATAGGCTCTTGCATTTCTGCATATATAAATATCATTAGGCAAACCGTTTATAGGCTTAATAACAAAGTTTCATACAGGCATCATATGTATAAGACTCTTATTGATATCAGGAAAGGGTGTTAAAATCAGTAAACATATAGAAAGCATGCCTATAGGAAACCTCGTCTTTAATAGCATCATTCGTTCTTAAACAGTATCGATTGCTGGAACTAGTGTCTTTATTAAAGATGGTAATTTTCTACTTCTGAAGCCCGCTAAAATTGGTAAACCTTTTTCCTATAGCCAATCTACAATCTCCCGAAACTCGCAAACCTTTTAATCAGTCTACATCTTTTCTGAAACAACTGGTAACTCTTTTCTAAAAATCGGTTTGCATCTTTTCTCTTTGTTTAAACTGATAATTCTTTTTTCTAAAATCAACTTGCATCTTTTTTGAAACTACTGGTACCTCTTTGTATCTTTTTCCTGAAATTAATAGATCATATGCCTAGGTTTTTTATTTCAACTCATAAACAAGGGTTGGCTAATTAATGAATTGGGTCAGTCCCTGACAACTGTATCCGAGTTGCCTAATGTAGACTCTCTGTTTAAATACATGTGTTGAACCATTCCGCTCGCTGCTTAATTTAATCTAAGACCAAATCAGTATTTGTCAAGGCATGCTAGACTAAATGATTGTTTGACTTCTGGGGTTAATTTGAGCCTTGTATGCTTGCTTGTCCTCCCCTTTTACTTAATACTTGTTTTGAATGTCGAGCTAGAATTTTATCCTTTAAACTCTACAAAGGCCCCCATCCCTTTCTTCCCCTTTAGGATTAGAAGTCCTAATACCCCGGGACTAATAGGATTGGGACGGGTAGTAGCATGCGATAAGTAAACGATACCGTTCCGCGTTTTAATACCTTAACAGGGTGGGAAGGGTAGACATGGAGATGATGATTACACGTTAACACTCCGCGTACAATTGAGTACCAGTGTTGTGCGAATGATCCATGTAATGTATAAACCTAGGACCCCTTTCTCCTTCTTTATTAGTTCTGTAAAAATTTTTGAATCTTTAAAGCTATTGCATTTTCAATTCCTGCTTCTCGCATGATCTTTTCGGATTATTTGCACTAAGTACTTGACCTTTTTCTCCACTTGCACGTTTTTTACAAAATTGCTCCTTTAAAATTCAAGCACTTCTTTTAACCTTTTGTGCTTCTTGTACTTGTTTATTTTTACATCTAAAGTCACAATTGTAGCATGGCCGGGAACCACACTAGTGGATCTTGAGGGGTGCCTAACACCTTCCCCTCGAGATAATTTCAAGCCCTTACCCAAAACTCTGGTCTGCATCTTTAATTCTTCTAAAAGTGTCCTAATGCACTATAATCATTAGGTGGCAACAAACCAAACATACCTAAGGATTTCCAAACTTCCGAATTCCGCAAACGATGCCAAAACCTATCAAACCTCATCCGAATGACCTTAAATTTTGCACACACGTCACAAATGACACAATGGGCCTACTCCAATTTTCGGAATTTCATTCCGACCCTGATATCAAGATTTCCACTGCCAACCGGAAAATGCCAAGTTTCCAATTTCGCCTATTCAAGCCTAAATCTATCATGGACCTCCAAATTATATCCCGATCACGCTCATAAGTCCATAATCACTTACCGGAGCTATCCAAACTGTCAGAATTCACATCCGAGGTCTTTTACACATAAGTCAACATTCGGTTGACTTTTCCAACTTAAGCTTCAAAATTAGAGACTAAGTGTCTCATTCCACCCTAAGGCCACTCCGAACATAGAACAACCAACACGATATGATAAAATATAGCTGAACAACCCAATAAGAAGCAGAAATGGGGAAAATGGGACTGTAACTCATGAAACGACCGGCCGGGTCGTTACAAGTATCCAGAAGTGCCTCAATATGCTTGCATATCCCATCTATGGAACAACATAAAGTCGAGGTTCAAGAAGAGCCAAAAAAAATAAGGCCCATATTTTTTGCTATGGCTAAAGCATACACAATTGAGGAATTTAACCAACACATAACAGAAATATGTAATCTTGATGGAAGATTGAAACAATACTTATTCAACATTGGAAATCATAGGTGGTCTATAGCGCATTCAACAGTTAACAGGTCCATGGTGATGACTTCAGATATTCCAGAATCTATGAATTCTACAAATAAGGCAGCAAGGGATCTACCTATATACAATCTGCTTGACTACTTGATGAAGTTGGTAGCGTCTTGGAATAACACAAACAGAAATAGAGCAATGGCTTAGAAACAAATTTTTGGGAGTAGAATGTGAAGGTACTTAAGAAATAATTGTCAGACCTCCCCCCTTTGCTCCCTAATATCCCCAATTGAACTCCACATTTGCAGATGTCTCTGGTTTGCAGAACTTTCAGGAGTTCCATACAACAACCCAAAGCTGGGACGAGAAAGTGGTAAAGCATTTTCACTACTTCCTGAAGGAGAATCATAGTAGTTATCCCTGATAGCCTTGACAGCCGAGAAATCCAGTTTCAATCCTCTGCCCAAAAAGTTATTCAAAACAGTTTTTTGCTGTTGTTTTGACTTCTCCATTGTTGCAAATTCTGCGAAAAGAAATTGAAAGCCTAAGATTAAATTATTCACAAACTGATGTAAAATTGTAATAAATGTACAACTTCTAGGGTTTTCTTACCTTAAAGTTCAAAGAACCCACATAAGCATTACTGAAAATAAAGAAGTAATTGGAGAATTATATGAATCAATAAGAGATTTATGAGTGAGTCTTCTGTGAAATTTGTATGATGTTAAGGCACGATTCCATATCAAAATTATCGCATCCATAAAGAAGATCGATAGTGATATCAGCAAATCCATGTCAAAATTATCGGAGGCGTTAATCATTGAATGATAAATAGGAGAAGAAGAAATATCTAGAGTACATCACTACTAGAAAATGGCAGATTTCCGACGGCCAGAACGGTCGGAATTCGGTAAATTACGTATTTTCGACTATTTTCCGACCGAAATTGGTCGGTCGGAAAATAATTTCCGACCGAATCTGTCGGTGATTTCCGACCAAAGTGGTTGCAAATTTCGAAAAGATCAGACTACCAAATAATTCACGTTTCCGACTAATATGGTCGGAATTTACCGACTGAATCGGTCGAAATAATACAAGGAAAATTAATAATAAAAAATTAAATTTTATTTATTTTCCGACGAAACCCGTCGAAAACTATTGAATATTAATATTTTTTTAAATTTCCGACCGAATCTGTCGGAAATTAATAATTAAAAATTAAATTTTATTTAATTTCCGACAGAATCCGTCGAAAATTTCTGAATATTAATTGTTTTTTAAAAAATTTCCGACCGAATTAGTCGGAGATCTGAGAATTTATGGTTAAATCTGGGGAGCTGTCCGACGTTTCAGTCGGAGTTTTATATAAAACTGGGCAGAATTCTGCCCAATTTCGAGCTACACCACCTGTCCAACTATCACAAATAAAAAAATACCAACCAACAATACATTAACAACAATCTAAACCAACGATACATTAATACAATAATACGAACCAAAAATACATTAACACTATCTAAATTAACAATACATTAACAAATTCTAAACCAACAATGCCAACCATTAAAACAACTTAAACCAACAATACTAACCTTTAAACTTAACAATTTTGGGCATAAAAACATCCAAATAGTAGCTCACATTCAAGTTTAAAAGCAATACATAAAGTTGTCTCTCACAATCAAGTTTACCAATCAGCCAAAACATCACAACTAAACTACTACACATCAGATTCAGTTTGTTCATCCTCATCATCAGATAAATCATGCCCATGTTTACACATGAATTCTGCATCTTAACAAATGTTCCGTAATGGGAGTCCAATTGTTGCTTCAATTCACGAATTTCGTTTCTCATATCTTCCATCTGTTCTTGATTTTGAGGAGAAGAAGAATTGGCTAAGAGTGGGTTTGGATGACCTGTAAGTCGATGTACTCCTAGTCTGTAAACTCTGCCTTTGTTTGCTCCACCCGCTGCCTCTGTCCACAATGAAGCCATATCATCAGGTGTTGGTTGAGTTGAAGGAGGCTGAGTTTGTTGCCATTCTTCCAACCTTTTATGATAATCTTCCTGAAATGAAAAACATAACTATTATGTAAACAAACTAATATTAATAAACCATAAATAATTATGAAGTTAGAATTTTACATATGTGTCTGACGCACGCGTCTCCACCCAGTGTTCTCTTGTACCATCCTTTTTCTTTTTCTTATGCAACTCCTCGAAGACCTCAGCGTGACTCACATCTCGCCCTCTTTCCTTTTCCTTCATAAGAAAAAGTATGAGTTAGACTTTACAAACGTAAAATTCTATATGTAAAACTAAGAAAATTTTACTAAATAATTACCATTCTTAGTTTATGGGCCTCAAAAATAATCGAACCTCCTGTGTGCAACGAGCCACCTTTTTTAGAGGCACGGTTTGCCTTTGCTTGTTGCCTTCCATTCTGGGGTATTCCATTTCTCAAGAAGTTTATCCCAAACATCTTCTCTTAACCAGTCCGGCATTTTACCGGAATTCCGAGCAGCGCACATAGTATCTTTAATCTTTATACTAGCTTTCTTCTCGAAAATACTATTTATTGCATTTTGATGCTGAGGATGCCATGTACACCATGTCTGGAATATAAAAAGGTAACATTAGATGAAGACGATAATTATTAAATAAATATAATTAATTTTTACGCTAAATTGATTCCACATTTGCTCTCTGATGCTGTACGGTATCTTTCTATAAGAAGTCCACGGCTCATGATAAAATGGCTTCATAGAATCTGTAACCAAATGTGTAGCTTGAAAGGATGGCAAAAACCTGCATTAAAGTTAAACATATATATATATATATATATTATATATATATATATATATATATATATATATATATATAATTAATAAACATCTTTTAATTGCAAATAAATACTCCTTAATGTTAACATATCTAAAAGTACATTCAAAACATAAAAATTTGTATAAGAACCTTCTTACCCATCCTTGTGGGGGATGATTATCAATCAATTATAGCTATCAAATTGTACATCCCCTCTAAGATTCTGCCTGCGTCTACGAGATGGTGCAGAAGTAGCACTAGATGTAGCTGGGCGAGAGCCTCCAATATCCAACCTAGATATGCCGGGAATGGATGATGATGGACTGGAAGATGACGGAGCAAGAAAAGACGCACCATCATGCTGACTACCATGAAAGCTCGGGGGTGTAGCAGTTGGTGAGCCAGTATGCTGACTACCATGAAAGTCCGGGGATGCAACAGCTGGTGAGTCACTATGTTGACTACCATAAAAGACCGAGGGTGCAACAACTGGTGAGCCACCATGTTGACTACCATGAAAGCCCGGTGAAGATAATGGTATAGAAGGTATGGGTACAAAGTTAAAAACGGTGTTACTTTGACTGCCTTTAGCAGGCATAGAATAATACTGAACTAAATTATTAGATGGAGGGGGGATGGTGAACATGGTAGATGGCAATGAAGTCGACTGAGGAGGATGAGGAAGTTGATGACTCATATTTGGCATAGTTGAGGAAGTTGGAACATATTGTTTTTTCTTAGATTTCATTTTTTCCTTCCCCTTAGATGCCATATCTGTAATGTAATCATAGTAAAATACAAAACAAAAAATATAACAAGTGACAGTAAATATAAAATAAGTAAACGACTAAAGAAATAAATAAACAACCTAACAAGTCGTAAAAATATAAAATAAGTTTGCAACATAATAGATAATTAAAGGAATAACATAAAATGTTTAACATGTCATAAAAAACTGTCACACCTCCTTTTTCTTACACCCGTAAGGGTGTAAGGGAGTTTTTTCCAATTTAAGTGACAATCGAAACGAAATTATTTAATTAAAAATCAGAGCCGCCACTTGGGATAATTTATGGTGTCCCAAGTCACCGGTTCAAATCTCGAATCGAGGAAAGATTGACTCTGTTATGGTCCGCGAACACAGAAATCCGGGTAAGAAATTCTATTAACCCGGGAGAAGGTGTTAGGCATTTTCGGGTTCCGTGGTTTTAGCACGGTCGCTCAACTATTATTAATTGGCCTAATTATCTGATTAATTACACATTTTAAACCTACGTGTATTTTTGACTTTCATCCGCTTTAATTATTTATAGAACAAACCACGATTGTCTTACCCTCGTTTGTTTTGATACACATTGCGAATCGCGTCACATGAAATGCACCCGCGGTTTACAACATGTTTATTTTAATTATTATTAGTTATGGTCGGGTCACATGAAATGCACACCCGAATTTGGAGTTATGTATCATGACTATGCCACGGGAACCGTACCCACAGTCACGATGATTACTTTCGCGCCGAAAAGTTTACCTACCCACGTGTGATCGGCCTAGCCATGCTCCTAATGATTAATTTAACTAAAAGAGAAAAACAACGTAGAATCCATGCAATATCCAAAGTTCTTTGACCTCATCAACATAAAGAAATCATTTTCCCTTGTTAATTAAACCAAGCCAAACACACGTTATGCACATTTGGTATTCCTCTGCCCATTGGCTTTAACAATTCACGTCACTAGAATTTATTCTACTTCAATTATTGATTACTTTTCTGCACAAATATCCTTATCCAACAAAAACAATTAGGAATGAATCAAACAGACAATCCATAACTAAATATTTATCAATTGAATTTCAAGTAATAAGTAAGCTAAGCACAAATAAGGTATACTAGAGAAATTAATTAAAGTAAGTACTGAAATAATATCAAATTAGGAGGAGAAAGACAAATGGACCTCAATTAAAGTAGGAACTTCTCCAATTAAAATTAAAACTTCCAGCAGGATGTACAACAAATATTCCGCTCCTATTGTTAATGCAACAGTGTACTCCAATTGAACTGCGACTGACCGCGAACAAAAAATTTGGACCTCGAACCCAATAGTTGGCCAGAACAGGAGAATGAGATTGGTTTCAACGTGATGGAGGAGAAGGAGGGAATCTTCATACTTGTACTTTTCTTGGGATACATCTACTGTTTCAATTCCCCATTTTCTTATAAACTTTGATTTGGTAGAAAACTTAAGCTTATGGAGATACCCAATCTTTGTGCATCATTATTGAAGTCTGACATCTAATACGAAGCCAATGCTACACTCTTACTCGAAGGAGGGGAACTGAAAAAGCTTGTGTCTTTAAATTGGATGGAAGAAGCTACTGGTATTCATGGAGGAAAAAGAAAGTGGCACTGCTGCTGTGTTTCTGAGATCGAGATCGGTGAGGGTTGGTCGCTGGTTATGTCTTGATGGAGAAGAAAGGGAAGCTCAGCCGATGGTGAGAGGGTCTCCTTTTTGGTCAAGAACACGGCTGACGCCTTATAGGGTCTAGGGTTCTTTTTATGTCTAGGTCTAGGGTTTTAGGGGTATTGAGCTTGGGTTATTATTGGCTAGGTCCGAAAATTAGGCCTAAAAATGGGTTGTTTGAGCCCAAATTTTATTCTTTCTCCGTGAACAAAACTACAAATACCACCTCAGTTACTAATTAATCCTACTTAAGCAAAATAATTATTAAAATAAGATTGACCGTTAAAACAAAACTATTTTTGTTATTTTTCAAGATTAAAAATGATTACAAAACATTAATGAAACTACTTTTTTTGTAATTTTCATTTTCTTGTAATAAAACAAAGTAAAAGAGTCAAAATTAAATGAAATAGCGATATTAGCCTAAATTAAATATTTACATGCTAAAATATAAAAAATCTTGGGGAGGGTCTAAAATCATATGTCTACAAAAACATACAACAATTCTGTAAAATATTAAATGATTAAAGGAAGAACAACCTAAAAAATAATAACAAGTTAATCTTCATCTCCATCTTCATAGTAATCATCTAAGTCTTCATCATCGCCCGTTTCACTTTCATCTAGTAATTCTTCCTCATCACTTGTTTCATGTTCAACACCTCTATCTTCGTCCTCATTTGTAGCAATGACAGAAGGATCAAATTCTTCATATATCCCTTCATTATGCTGCAATTCATCTGTTAATTCATCATCCACTATTGATTCAACATTTGAAATGTCATTTAGGTACGCCACATCTAATGCATCTTCGACTACCACTCTACCCACGGGCTTTGTTTTCAAAACTACCCGCCATGCAAACTTATTCTTGCTCAAAGGATAAGGAGCATAATACACTTGTTTCACCTTTTGTGCAATGATAAAGGGATCGTAAAGTCTATATTGCCCCGTGTGTTTAATTTCAGCAATGTTGTATTGAGCGTGCACCTTTGTACCTCTATTTGGTGTTGGATCATACCATTTACAACGAAAGAGTACCAACTTTTTCTTCAGCCAACCTACAGCATATTTCAATTCAAAATCTCTTGAAGCACACCATAATAATTAACATCTCCATCACCTTTCACCCACACCCCATTATTGTTGGTTTTCTTTCCATTAGACCATTCTTCTGTATAAACTTGTACCCATTGACCACGTATTTAGACATCATTCTTACTCTAGGGTCAGGTCCCTAAGCTATATCACGTAAAAATGGGTCTTTAATGCCATTAGCTCGATCATGAACCTATATATATAATTAAATATAATCTAGAATATTAAAAATATATATAATTAATTACATATAATAAAAATATGTTAAATAATAAGTAATACTTACAAATTCTTTAAACCACTTTGAAAACTTGGGATAAACAACATCTTGCCCATATGTGCCCACAAAGCAACTGCCATTATGATATTTATTAGTTAAATCAGTGGTATATTTAATATAAAAGTCCGTAATATATACGAATATATATTTACCTATAATAAGGTTGGACCTCAGGGCAATTTAACAATACATGTGTTGTAGCTGACTTTAGCTCCATCTCAGACGACCTTCGCTTTNTGGATCTGTTTATCATAAAGAGATTCGCGTTCCTGACCCTGCTTCACCTTATGTATTTGAACAGTAAAAGTTCTGTCTTGGTCCGAGTGGGGATAGCATTTCTCTTCTGCATGTCCATGGAGTTTTGAAAAATCCAAACATCTCAGAGATAGATAGAGAGGTAGGAATTTCTCGAACGAACCGCACTCCTTCGTATACGTCAGGAGTCCATTGATGAGAAGGGGCTGGGGAAAGCTTGAACCCAATTCCTACGGTAATGAATATGAGCGCAATTGAAATTCCTGGGGAGTTATACAACATCGACGCTTCCATGAAAATATGACAATCGTGGCTTCTCATTGACGCCAACTTCCCTTCTTTCATGTCAACACACCTGGATAAATTTGATGCGTACCCATCAGGCATCCTCAAATTGTTAACCCAACTACAAATCTCTCATCTCTCATCCAAGGTGAACGTGTAACTGGCTTTGGGCTTCTGTATCTTGTTGTTAAAGTATGCCAGATACAGCTCACTTCGCCTACAATATTTCTTTAAGTCCATCCTGTCCTTCAAGTTATCTTTGGTCTTGTTAGTAACATCCATAATAGTGTTAAACAAGTTATCAAGAAATTTTTTCTCGATATGCATGACGTCCAGTTTATGCCGAAGAAGATTGTGCTTCCAATAAGGTAATTCCCAAAATATGCTCCGTTTAGTCCAGTTGTGTGTGACACCATAACCTGATTTAGATGGTGGAGACTCTATTACTTTAGGCAGATCCCTTACTCTGTTCCAAATTTCTTCTGAACACAAGCAGGCCAGTGGCTCCTTAAAATCAGTTAGGTTCTTCATAAATGCACTTGTATTTCGCCTAAATTCATGATTCATTGGCAAGAATCTACTGTGGCAGTCGAACCATGTATTTTTACCTCCATGTTTCAAAGTAAATGCTTTTGTGTCTTCCATACAACAAGGGCAAGATAAGTTTCCAGCAGTCGACCACCCGAACAACATTCCATAAGCAGGAAAATTATTTATAGTCCACATCAAAGCAGCATGCAATCTGAAGTTTTGTTTGGTTGATATATAATATGTTTCTACACCTTGATGCCATAATAATTGTAACTCATCAATCAAAGGCTGCAAGTATACATCAATCAAACTTTTCGGATTGCGTGGACCTGGAACAATACAAGTTAGGAACAGATATGGACTTGTCATACACAACTCGGGCGGAAGATTATACGGAGTAACAAACACTGGCCAACATGAATATGGTGCAACAGAGACAGCAATGGAGTAAATCCATCTGTGCATAATCCCAACCTAATGTTTCTTGGTTCACTAGCAAACTCGGGGAACACCATATCAAAATGCTTCCACGCTTCTCCATCTGACGGATGGCAGAGAATACCAGGTGGCCTTCTATGTTCGTAGTGCCATCTCATATGAGGAGCAGAGCTCATTGATGCATACAACCTCTTTAACCTAGGTATAAGAGGTAAGTAATGCATCGCTTTAACTGGAACTTTCTTTTTTGTATTGGCATTTGTGACTTCCTTAAAACGAGGCTGATTACAAAATTTACAGTTCTCTAGAGATGCGTCATCCTTATAGAATAACATGCAACCTTTCTCACAACAATCAATTCTCTCTGATGAAAGACCCAACTTAGAAACCAATTTTTTAGCAGTGTAGAAATCTTTTGGTAAGTCAATGTTACTCGGATTAAGTTCATTCATAAGCCCAATAATAGAATCCATGCCCGCTTGAGAGATAGAACTATCCGATTTAATACTTAGCAATCTAACCGCAACAGACAACTTGGAATGTACCGAACCTTCATAAAATGGACGACTAGCTTCTAGTAACTGTTCATAGAAACGCTTAGACTCATCACTTGGTTCGGATTGAACCCCAGGAAACGTCCCAAAAGCATCACTCATCATTTCATTGTATCGAGAATTTTCAACATTATGCTCCGAAATGGGGCTACCCTCACCACCAAAAGAATTATGAAAGCTAGCATCATCTAAACTAGCATGATTCTCCCTGTGAGCAGTCCATATATAATAATTTTCTACAAACCCTTTCTTGTAGAGATGGACTTTAACTTCGTCTGATTTCAATAACTTAACACATTTACATTTCACACAAGGACACCTAATCCTTCCTCCAGTAAGAAAATCATCAAGTGTTTGAGCCTTAGCAATAAATTCAGCAACCCCTTCAATAAATTCATCCCTCAACCCCGTACGATTAGGATGATTCCTATTATACATCCATCTACGATGCACAAATTCCATCTACACAAGTAGAAATTTATAAATGAGATATTTAAAATAATTTGATTTATTTAAACTGGTTACAAAGTTATACTCTTTCAAAGGTTCCTTTTAGAAATATACATATCATTGTGTCAAAGCACTTTAATTAATATATTTTATTCTTTAAAATAATATTTTTTAACACTCGAAATCTCACATTAATCCCGATTCTAAATAATATAAGTCTTTAAATATACTAATTAAATTTGAATAGCTTCTTAAATGTTCATATAATCTAAATTAATTAATGATTTCTCAAATAAAAGAAATAGTCGTAACTAACAAGTGGAAGTATTTTTATTTGGTATTGAGGAGGACAAAAGGATCAGATAGAATCTTGAAAACTGAAAGATCCAAAAGACAATTAGCTTTCTGTCTAAAGAGTTTTAACAAGATCACTTTCAACACCGGAATCTTCAGATCTATCACTTTAAAAGAATGTAAAGAGGAAATGTAACAGAAGCGCCAATTAGTGTCATTATCATCAATGACAATAGCTTTGACTCACAAACTATAAATCAAGTTTGACAGCACCTCCAAAACACAAGAAAATAAAATTCACAACATATTTACACTTTGTTCACAGTGCTAGTACTTTCACTTTTAATGGAACCTAAAAAAAACTCAGTACCATAAACAAAGAGAAATGTGATTAATAGTATAAAGAACTTCAAGATTTAGGGTGCTTGGTTTCTTGAATTTTTTTTGGCTTAAAGGGGAAAATAAGTGTGAAGGTTAACCAAAGTAAAGTACACATGAAATGGAAAAGTTCTTATATATAGATTGGACTACTAGAGTCTGCATCTTTAAAAAATATATAGGCTCTTCAAATTCCAATCATACATCATTAACATATTGAAAACCATTATAGATTTGCGGACTTTAAAAGCTTAAGAGTATCTTAACAAAATATAATGACAAGATATGTCAAACCTTTACCAAGAGAGTGTTAAAACATTATAATGGAATAAATATCTCGAGTAAGATCAAAATATTGCCAAACTAATAGTACTACCAACCATACCCTACACAAAATATAGAAGTAATACTCAAACCCTAACGTTGTCCAATTAAGGGTCAGATGTCCATGTACAATTGTCAATCAAAATTATAAAATTTAATTCCAAGATAAAAAGAAAATTACATATTTTTTTTAAAAATATATGTGGCTATAAGTGTGTGTTTATGAAACTAAGGAAGACCCAAGATACATATGAATAATTATTTTCGACAGAGTTCAGAGTTTGTAGAGACACCCAAGAATGCTTCTCATTTTACTGGAACAATAATTTGGGTTTGTGATAAAATTAATCATGATTATTGGTTTAAGTTAGAGCAGTGCACAAAATTAGAACCAATTAACCAAAGAGGTAACGTAATATCTATGCACTGACTTCAGCAATCCCCAGGAATGGAACTATAATTCCAAAGAACACTTCTCATTTGTTTACTGAATTTTAAAAAGAAAAACACATTATTTTAACAACTCGAACATATAATACCAAAAAGTGCACTTTATCTCACAAAACAAAGAAATCTATTAACAAGTTCAACAATGATAATACTCACAGAACCATCGTAAGTATAATTTCATGCCTTAACTCTTTTGTTTTAACAATTGGAACACAGAGCAGCAGATCTGCAATAATCCTTCAATTCTTATAACAAAGGAGGGTTTGGGTGGGGGGAAACTTACCTAGCAGTGGAGGATCTCGACGGACTTGCAGCGGCGCCGGCGAGTGCTGCTCGTTGATGGAAGCGGCGGGTTTAGGTGGGGGGAAGTTTAAGTGAGAGAGAGAGAAGAGAGAAGGAAGAAAAGAGGAAAAGGAAAAGAAAGAAAGTCGCTGAGGGATTTTTATAAAACTTTCCGACCGATTCGGTCGGTAATTTGGTCAAAAATAGTCAACCTCATTTTACTAAACATTTCCGACCGAATCGGTCGCTATTTTTTTTTTAAATTGTTTCCGACCGAATTGGTCGCTAAAAGTGACGCGGAATTTTCCGCCAATATTTACGACGGACATAGACAGAATATTAGTCGTAAGTATTACTAAAAATTGAAAAATATATTTTTAGGCATATTCCGACTGATTTCGTCGGAAATTTCGGACTACTTTTTCCGTCGAAAATTTCGATCGGAAATGGGCCGTTTTTTAGTAGTGTATGAAGGCCCCATCAGCCAGATATAGAACTGAAAAATACGAAGAGAGAGAGAGAGAGGAGAGAGACAGAGAGTTTGAATATGTCAAAAAGAAAAAAAAGTACTTTCCATGATTAGTGCAATCCGTTAATTTATTAAATGTTGAGCCTAATTTTTATAATCTGCTACAAATATAAAAGAAGTGCTTTTTATGGAATAAACGAGAAATAATTCTACTTATTTAAATAATAGTTAAAATAGATCAAGCATGTAAAAGTCTCTTAAACTTTTGATATTTGATTCAATTAAACACTAGAATTATATATATCAACCATACACCTTAAAGGTGATGTCATTACAAATCCTTCCTGAACCCGGACTTAAGGCGATCCCTTGAGCCCGGGAAATTGGGCATACCCCATTGATTTTTTTTAACCAAACCTTAATCGATTTTTTTTTCCGGTTTAACTTGTATTAACGGGTTGGTGTGATTTATCGATTTTCTGTGAACACTCTTATTTTTGAAATAATATTTTTTCAGTTCATTTTGTTTAGTTTTGGGTTATGTTACAATTCATGTTCATCACGGCACATCGATCTCCATTTATTGTTTCATCATATTTAAGCACTTAAACGACAATAAAATAAAAGAGGGCTCTCATTTTGTCAATGAGCTCCGAATTAAAGCTTGACTTTATTCTTAACTCTTTTTACAAGAGAGTGAAAAGTCGAAATCAAATTCACCAACAGCAACAGACTTTGTTGTTGTAACGACTATACAATGTGTGAATTGGCTTCTAAGTTTAATGGTTGGTAAAAAGACAGCGTGGCCTTGAGCGTATTTCACGTACTTTATGATTTTAAGGGCACGTTTGAACACATTCATGTAATTTAGTTTGTGTAATTATTAGGATAGTGTGACGACCCAAAGGGTCATCACCTGTTTTCTTACCCATTCTGTACTTCCTAGGCCTTGAAAACCTCATTTAGGGTTGCCTCGATTTACGTGCGCAGTCCGGGCGCGTAGCCGGAAAGCTTAAATATGAATTCTGTGTGAAAAATCCTAAATTCTGATATTAAATTGAACAAATTTGACTTCGATCAACATTTTTGGGTAAACGGACCCTGACCCGTGATTTGACGGTCTCGGAGGGTCCGTAGGAAAATATGGGATTGGGCGTATGCCCGGAATCGAATTCCGAGGTCCCAAGCCCGAGAAATGAATTTTTGTGTGAAATTGTTTTCTGGAAATGATTAAGGAAAATGAAAATGAAATTTGATTAAAAGTCTATGGTATCGGGCCCGTATTTTGGTTCCGGCGCCCGGTACAAGTCTTATATATGGTTTAAGCGCTTTCTGTGAAGTTTGGTTGAAATCGGACGTCGTTTGACGTGTTTCGGACTTAAAACTCTAAATTTGAAAGTTTATGAGGTTTGAGGAAAAGCTTGTGATTTTGAGGTTTGATTCGTTGTTGTTGATGTTATTTTGGCGATTTGATCGCACGAGTAAGTCCGTAGGATGTTATTGAGGTTGTGTGCATATTTGGTTTGGAGCCCCGAGGGCTCGGGTGAGTTTTGGATAGGTGTCAGATTGCATTTTTGAACTTTGGAAAAATCTGGTACCTACCGGTCAATAAACGACATAATCATAGGAATAATGGAAACGACATAAATATGTAAAGACTGCATGAATGACAAAGAATGCTACAATTCACAATAAGGGAAAAATACAACAAGTAACAACGAGAATATAATAAATGAGGATACGAAATGACGGGAGAATCACAATCCAAATCCTAAGGTCACAACACAGCAAGGGGAAAACAAGTCAATAACTCATATCCTACAATGATGTTCACCAAGGTCTTGTCCAACTCTTTCCACAATTTCACCAAGTCTTGGACAAACCACAACTCGCGAAGACTCAGCGTCTGAAATCTAACAATTGGTATCATGTGCCCCATCAATCTCATGGTCATGCTGACAACTAACTGGCTAACTAGGGCCACTCTCCCAAATATAGTGGATAACGAGGGCGTACCTCCACCCTTAGCAAAAATCAGGAGGAATTCACCTCTAATAGGAGTGGTCGGCTACGTGTATGCTTGTGCAAGTGTTTTTAACAAGAATTCTACCAATTAGAAAACATAAAAGGGGAACAGACTGCACGTACGAATGTTTCCACACAACTTCCAAGCGGTAACGCTCATACAGGTAAGCAACCCACAATCACAATATAAAACAAATAGGAATGCCTCCACAGGCCGTCACAATTCTTTACAATCAACCCCTGACATAGCCCACCTTATTACACCACGTGTGCAATTAATAACATAATAAGCACCGCCTTATTTCGCCACACGTGCATCACAATGTTCCCACCTTATTTCGCCACATGCGCAACCCACATATAAGCATATAACATATCCCGCCTTATCACGCCGCATGTGCAACACATCAATAGCAATAATAGCACGACAAAGATCTCGTGCAACCCTTCAACAACAACTACACGACAGAGACCTCGTGCATCACAGTACCAACAGTCGCACGGCAGAAACCTCATGCATCACAGTATCAACAATCGCACAGCAGAAACCTCGTGCATCACAATATCAACAACCGCACGGCAGAAACCTCGCCCATTACAATATCCACAATCGCACGGCAGAAACCTCGTGCATCACGATATCAATGCAACACAACAAATGACAATATATGCAGGAACAAAGCAAGAGGATCAACTCAAGAAAGTCCGTTCACCAAAAGACGGTACAACTAACTCACAAGGAATAACCGTGATAGAGAAATACTACGCGCAATAAGAACAACTCAACAGG